GTCAGGCTGGATGGTGTGAACGAGAAGATGAGGATGAATTAAATTTATCAGTGATGATTTTGGGATGAGGGAGAAGAGATTTTTTTTTTTTAGAAGAAATGTTCAAATTGGGAAAGAAAATTGATGACTTGAAATTGATTAAAAAGAATTCTCAGACGTGGACTCTGATGTGGTAAGTCATGTTGGCAGGGTCGATTTGGTCACACTGTCATGTCTGAGCAAAATTGTGTCAAAATAAAAAATATTGAGATAAAATTGTGCTAAAAGATACTTTAGAATATGAGATGTGCTTGACTAAAAACTTTAAAAGTAGATTTGTATTTTAACTTTTTTGTTTTCATATTTTGCAAGAAAAAAAATGAAAAGAAATATGCGTTCATACATATAAACATAGGAGAAGTAGCATATCCGTAGCTATATATATATATATATATATATATAAAACACACACACACACCCCAATTATTTGATTAGAAATTTAGAGAAGACGATATCAACAAGCAGGCGTGCATTTCGAGCTAGATTTTTAACATGAGAAGACCTCACATTTGATTGTGATTTTCTATCAGAATATAATTTACATATTAAAGTCTCACATTAATTAAAAAAAAAAACCCATTTTAACTATAACTACTACTCTCTATTAAGGGAAAGAAATGAAATCTTACATCTAAAGGTAGCATTGGGCAAATAAGTTACGGGCCAACCCGCACAAGTTGATATTTTTGTGAGTTGGGTTGAGTTAGCCCGTCAGATAAAATAAGTTAGCAAACCCAACTCAACCTATTTTTTAATAGGCTAGCCAACCTGTGGATTGGCCCGCAAAAATTTATCAATTTTTTAACAATTTAAAATTTATATAAATATATATATATATATTTTATATTTTCAAGCAAATTAACAATTAAAGTACTTGTACATAAATAAAATAAATATAGAATTTAACTAAGTACATTTATTTTACTATTTTTACTATCAAATTATCTTCTCGCTTAAGTGTGTTATCTTTCTCAATGAAAAAGAAAATTTAAATATAAACTTATATTATTTTTCTCGATGAATTTATATTTATGATTTTAATCAATAGATCTTATCAGATTAATAAATAATATATATTTAAAATATTTCTATAAAAACTAATGAATTATTGATTTACAAACTATAACAAAAATTTTATTTGTAAATTGTAAAAAAAAATTTACATTATATTTTAAACGTAAAGAATATATTTGGAAGTCATACATTGTATATTTGATAAATATTATCATTGTGATAGATTTATAAAAAGATATAATATGATTAAAAAATTAAAAATTATTTTTTAAGAAAATATACTAGCTTGTGGGCCAGCCTGTTTAGCTCGCCGGCTAGCCTGTTTTAGCTCATTAGTTTTGCGAGTTGGGTTAGGCCAACTCATTTTAAAAACGAACTAATTTATTCAACCCAACTCGTTAAATTTTGTGGGTTAAACAGGCTAGTTTGAGGGCTCAACTCGTTTGCCCAGCTCTATCTAAAGACTACAAGGAGGAAAGTCTTTGGAGCTGGAAGCTTTCTCTTATTCTTAGGATTCGCACATCTTTTATTTGATTATTTTATTTTTTTCATCGTATATTAATTTTTATCTATGAAAATTTATGTTTGCTTTTATATTTATCTCTTTTGCTTTAACTCTTTGTATAAATAGCTGCTATATGGATTGTCTATAGATAGTTTGATGACCTGAAAGGTAAAAACTTAACTAGACCTAGAGTTATAGATATAAATAACTAAATTAGGAATAATTAAGAAATTTGTGGTAATTTAGATCATAACTTCATAATTTAGTTGAAGAGTATAATTTAACGAGGGTTAAATTTAACTTTAATTAAATACATCATAATATATTAAAAGATAATTATGACACTTTAAAAATGGTTGCCCCTACAAAAGAATGAAAGATAATTAATTGAATGGGAATAATTTATCTTGATAGGTGAATCTTAATCTTTGACATTTATTTGATTAGTTTGTTCACTGTATTTATCGCTTTTATCATTTTTTTATTTACATTATTTGATTATTTAATTTAAATCACTTTTTAAAGTTCTTATTTGTTTTTTTAAATAATAAATATCACTATTTTTTTTTTTGAGTTCTACTCCTAAAATATTTTAGAATTTATTAATATATTGATCTCGCGCACATGCAATGCAGATCAACAAGTTTCTCAATTCCTCATGAATCTAGATTTCAGCGTAAGCAATGCTCGAAAGAAGATGAAGCAGCAGGGTAGGGCCCAACTCCTTGTTGCTCATGATGAAGGTGGAAAGCGTCATCTCACCAGAACCCCTGGCTTCAAGCTTCACCCTTCCCACCTAGCAACCTGAGACACTAATCAATAGCGAATGAAAATGATCTGCTTTCTACCCACTTCCATTCAGCCAATCCACGACTTTGAATTGTCTTGGCTTCCTTTTTAAATGCTTCGTGAATAAGGGAAAGAGACGGCCTTTAAAGCGGCAAAAAAAAAAAAAAAAAAGAACAAGTGCAAAGACACCTCATTGAACCTTAATTAATTCAGTGGGACAGAGAAATACCTTAAATATAAATGACAGTTGCCACCTCTGCAACTCCACTAGATGTCTATTGATGGCAGCATAGGAGAGAAGCATTTTCACATAACGCAGGAGGTGTAGGATTGACGAGTTAACTGCTCTATTAAGTCATCTGTATCTATTGCCACGTGTGTAACCTGAATGCTCACCTGACCACAGCTCTCGCCACACCATTCTTCAGAGCTCAAACTAATGTTCCAGCCATATATCCTGATCACCTTGTACCAAATTCTTAATCACTCGTGGAGCCTATATTCCGAGTTGGTCGGTGAATAACAAATAATGCCGTATTCATTGGATGGTGCATCTCTTATATTCTTCATTCATTCATTTAGACTTTTAGATAAAGCAGACATTTTATACCTTGCCGTGTACGAGACTTGTTAATTATAAGATGCCATATCACATACTCTCCGATTTTCTACTCTGCTTTTCCACATCGCAATCAAGCACGAGGAGCTACCATCACTATCCATTATGGGCTAGGGAATCTTAAATGTCTCTGCCTTCGAATGCTACTTCATGTATCAACCGGGGAAATTAAAATAATCTCCGATCGATCTAGATAATTATTTAGCAAAGAGACGAACATTGAGGGGGGAAAAATAGTTATTTTCCATCCAATTATTTGCAAATTGCGACTATTTATCAGATGAAGGTTGAACTATAGCCTGCCAAGAATTGGCATTGGGTGTTCATGTAGTAGGCAAAATCAACCTCATAGTTTAAAATTGAACGGGTCAAACGATAAGATTGTGTATTAAAATGATGGCGTGAGTGTGCGTTAATAAGTGAGTGGATCAATAAATAGGACGACGAAAATTGACCCACCACTTGTCTTTGACGTGAAAGGTTTACAAGTTATTCTGATTATGTTTTTACTTAGCCACGCTAATTAATTCTATTTTCATATATAGTTTGTGATAAAGAAAGCAATATTGCAAGTTTTTTTTTTTATGGGTTCTGTATAAAAACACCGCAAGCAATGAGATTTGCGTAATATATATTAATTTAGAAAGACGCCATCTAAATATATTTGTTGCTATATGTGAAGCTATGGCACTGGATACCGATTGATTCTGTCCCACTAAATAAGCAATCAGTGAGTACCCCAACAACTTGACACTTTTTTTATTTACCATAACTAGCAAACTCCCAAAATAAAATTTTTTCAGTCAATAGGCTCGTTAGAACAAGATCCTCTCGTGTGATGGAGAAGATTTTATTAAAAATGAATCAGAGGAAGAAGAACAGACTTTTTCAGACGGATTCAATCCTTTTTTTTTTTTTTGGTACGAACCAGAATATCTCTAATTTGTCAGACAAACTAAAAATTAAACATCACAACCTTCTAAGTGAATTAAGTATCGCAGAAAATGAGTCCAAATCTCCAAACAGTTATTTATTAAGAGTAAAGGTTAAAGAACTTGGGATATACCCCTTCAATCTTTATATATAAGATATTTTTAATCAAATATTACACATTAATAAATGTTTGTTATTTAATTTAACTAAAAATACAATAATTTTTTAATTTTATCTCTAATAATATTATAATTAATATCATGATGATATTAGAAAAAATATATAATTTATGACTTATTTTATTTTTTAAGATAAGAATAAAATTATCCACTTACCTAAAAATATTATTGTAACTCCTTATATTTAAATATAAAATAGGTTTTTTTTAAAAAAATACCGATATACGGATGGAGAATATGCACAGTTTCTGTTTCTCACGAACAGAGCAGCCATTTTTAGAGTTATTATCAGTGACAGATCACCGAGCGGTCAAAGTTTTTCTGGCCTCCCCATTAACATAAGCCACATCCAGCCTAGATAAATTAAATAGTAGCGTATATTCAATTCTAGTTTCAGAGAACGACATGGAACATTCCAAAAGTCTGTTTCCAGAGAAAATGCAAGGCAGCAAGGCTATATATTATTATTATTTCATATATATATATATATATATTAAAAATAAATAGCAAGAGTTTCTTAGATTTAAAAATAAGAAAGTATTGTAAAAAAAAAAAAGCCGCCGTCATGAACGTGTCAGTCGGTGTTTGCTTGCGCTGGCCATGATATGAAAGATATGCGCGATCAGATTAAAAAAAGAATGCAATGCGATCCACGATTTGAATGGAAACCAGATCATCTCAGCTCACGGGCTAGCTGTCTTCCCCCCTCTGGATTCCAGAATCATCCCACGGACGTAGATAGATGTTGGCCGTGATGTTACCTTGATTAACCCTCTGTTTATGATTATCTTATCTTTCATTTTCCACAATTTCATTTCAATTTAAATTCTTTAACTCCACTCAAGTTATAAAATCAATCAAACCAACATTTTTTCCCCCATATGCTCATTCTTTATATCTAAATATAGAAGTTAACATGGTTAAGCGAATGTGTTATCTCTGAACCTTTTCTTCTCTCTTCAACTCTCGCTCCCTACTCTCTATTTTTTTTTCCTAAAAAGAAATTATTGTTTTGAAAAGTCGGTTTAAATTTCAAAGTTGGTATTATGAAAGAATTTGAACTTGACAAACCTGATCCTTTTCCTGTAAACAAAATGATAAATTGTGATAAGAATGTCCGTTGGTTGCCCGGTGTTGATTATTCGGAGGAGCTTGTTGTAGGAGGAAGCCAAGTTTTTTTTTTTTAAAAAAAAAAATTCCAGGAGGATTTTGGTTCGAACGTCTATTGGATTGCCAATTCTCTTCTTTTCGCCTATCGTGTACTTGCAGTTGCAGGTCAAAAAATTCAAGTTCTAACAAACCCAGACCCTTCCCTGTCACTGTTTCTTGGTTCTTACTTCTTCCCACACCAGAAACCGAAAATTTCTACCCAACCACTCCTCTCCTCCTCCACCTCTCAACATCTTCCTGGCGCTTTTATTCTTTTGATTTTTAAATGAAATGGCGGAACACAATAGACCCCCCCAACAACAGGGGTTTCTATCTTAAGATGAAGCTCCTCCCAAAACATACCAGCAGACCTCCCCCAGAAATAAGCTGTTTCTTCAAATATTACAAATGGCTTCTCTGGTTCTCCCTTTCTCTCTATTTCTTCTCCTCCTGTTTCATCACCAATAATAATCCCCCGGCCGAGTCTGACTCTTCTCACCAATCTCAATCCACCCTTCTCTCTAGTCCTCTTCTGGAATCCCCCAACATCACCGCTCTAAACCCCTCAGGTATCCATAGATTTGAAACCATGATTTCATCCCTTCTCAAGCCTGTTTCCATAGTTTATCCACTCTGTTTTTTATGTTTCTGGTTGCAGGGGTTCTAAACGACTTGAAGATTTTCGTGTACGATTTGCCTCCCAAATATAACTCCGACTGGCTCTCAAACAGGAGATGCAGCAATCATCTGTTTGCGTCCGAGGTAGCCATTCACAGGGCGTTGTTGACGAGCGAGGTTCGGACGTTTGACCCCTACGATGCTGACTTCTTCTTCGTTCCCGTCTACGTGTCATGCAACTTCAGCACCGTTAATGGGTTCCCGGCGATTGGTCACGCGCGCTCCCTAATCTCCTCCGCCGTCCAACTCATCTCCTCTCAATACACCTTCTGGAATCGGACCCAAGGATCGGACCACATCTTCGTCGCTTCCCACGACTTCGGCTCCTGTTTCCACACCTTGGTGCGTAAGCATCGTGAATGAATGGCGCATAAACTTGTTGTCAACGTTTCAGGCATTGAAATTTTGTTTTTGTTTTTGTTTTGGGGTCGTGAAGGAGGACGTGGCAATTGCAGACGGGATACCGGACTTCTTGAAAAAGTCAATCATTTTGCAGACTTTTGGTGTTGAATACAAACATCCATGTCAGGACGTTGATAATGTAGTAATACCCCCGTACGTGTCGCCGCGGAGTCTGAAGAATACGCTGGAGAAAGAACCGGCGAACCGACGGCGAGATATTTGGGTGTTCTTCAGGGGCAAAATGGAGCTCCATCCTAAGAATGTCAGCGGACGATATTACAGCAAGTAATAAATAAATCCCACCTCAAGTTTTTTTTTTTTTTTAAGGTTTATAATCTGTCTAAGGCGGCGATTTGTTTGTGACCGCCAGATTATCTGCTTTCGTCTGATCATGAATTTACCTCAGGACTCCAATATCGATATTCGTTGACTTCCAGCATCACGTCACACTTTATTATTGTTGTTTTGTGAAGGCAAGTGCGGACGGAGATATGGCGGAAATTCAACGCTGACCGGAGGTTTTACCTGCAGAGGCAGAGATTCGAGGGTTACCAGTCGGAAATCGCCCGGTCAGTGTTCTGTCTGTGCCCGCTGGGATGGGCGCCGTGGAGCCCGAGACTGGTGGAATCGGTGGGGCTGGTATGCGTGCCGGTGATAATAGCGGACGGCATCCGGTTGCCATTCCCGTGGGCGGTGAGGTGGGAGGAGATATCGGTGAGAGTGGCGGAGAAGGACGTGGGGAAGTTGGGAAGGATGCTGGAGGAGGTGGAGGCGACGAACCTGAGCGCGATACAGAGGAACCTGTGGGAGGCGAGGAGAAGGCGGGCCCTGCTTTTCAACGATGAGGTGGAAGAAGGGGACGCCACGTGGCAGGTGCTGGAGGCACTGGGGCAGAAGCTACATAAGAGTTACAAGAGGGCTAAGCACCAGTGGGGTGTTGACACGTGACAGAAAGGAGGAGAGAGTGGTGCCAGCCCGCTGGCCTGGATATGCTCGCCGCCTTTAATTCTTTATGGCCTGCCAGGATAAGGAATTACAAAATGTGGAATTAATCAGTGCTTCTCTAGATGAATAATAGAATAAATGAAAGAAGGGGAATTTGAAGGCATCGAGGGGTGGGGCGGGGCCCAAATCGCAGATTAGTGCTTACTGTGAACCGGGCTGCGTACGGTCTGTCAACCCTTTCGGCTGTGTTAATGCTGACGGGGAAGGGTCTCTAGTGGCGTGGCTGTCACTCATTGGATGAAGGTTGCCGCAGCAGAACGACTTTTTTACAGACGCCTATTTTGACTTTTGAGGATTCTGATGTTAAGGGGAGTTCCCTCTTGTAAATCACCATCAATTTTACTGTAAATAGTAAATGCCACTGCAAGTAGGATGCTGAAGAAGCACGACATTCTTTCTTCTACGGTTCTACCACATGTTAATTTAAAAAAATAAAAATAAAACTCCACCTTAAAATTGTTTTTTATTTCATTGCTACTTTAAACTTGTCATATTTCTCCCAGAAATTGGGAGAATAGTTGGTTATATTTAAATTTGAGGTGATTTTAAATGTATATTTTTTTAATTTATTTTTTATGATGTGTATAATTATAAATTTTATATGATATGTTGATGATATGTTTGAATAATACTCCCTCCATTTTAAAATATAAAATACATTTTATTGAATAGGCTTAAGTTAATATCACCTATTCTCTTTCGTTAGTTAATTCTCATCTCTCTCTTTTTAATATATTATATTAAAAAATATTTTTTAAAAAATTTATATTTCTGTTTTAAAAGAAATAAAATTATTAAATATATTTAATAAAATGTATTAATATGTGAAATTTTATTTAAAAATAATTTATTATTTAAAAATAAAAACTAAAAAGAAGAAGTGAAATACGGGGAAAGGTGGCCGTAGATTATTAAATTGAAAGGGAGAAAGGGCGGGGTGGTGGGAAATGGGAATGGAAGAGCAGAGTGAGCGATGGCGTCAGTCTGTCAGAGGAGGAAAAAAGGAAGAGAAAGGAGGTGTGACGGGGCAGAAGGGAAATTTTAAGACGACAAAGTACTTGGGAGTGACCAGGCTGCAAAATAAACTGACTGCAGTGTTACGCGGGTTGACAAGCAAAAACTGTATGATAACCGATGAGTAAGTACAAGGGAAGCAGCTTCATGGGTGATACTGATAATGTTGCTATCGAGTTAGACAAGTTCGTTATTGTTTTCCCTCCTTCACGGGCTACCCCAAGGTTCGCATTTCATGCTCATCAATGTAATGAGCACCGTGTGCTCATCACCCACAAGGTGATCTTAGCTTTTTATTTTTTTTTAAAAAAATGATCTCTACTTTTAATTTTAAATTAATTTTTAAATATTTTAAATATTATATTTGTAAAATTAAAAATTATAAAAAATTATTATTAAATTTTGAGTGTTCAAAATATATCTAGATAGTTAATTTATAAAAATTATAAAAAATTAATATTAAATTGAAGCATCTAGATTATATCTGGACTATCTAGAATATATTTGAACAGTTAATTTATAAAAAATATGAAAAAATTTATATTAAATTAGATCATTTAGATTAAATATAAGCTAATAAGATTTATTATCAACAGATTTATTAAAAATTTAATCTTTTTTATGCATTTTTATTTTGATTAATATAAAATAAAAATAAAAATTTAAATTTGAATTGTTTAGATCTTGTCACGAGTGATGTGCGTGATAGTGTTTATCATGTAATGAGCACTAAGAGCAGTCCAGATTTAATTAAAAATTTCTATAATTTTTATTTTCACAAATATAATATTTAAAAATTAATTTAAAATTAAGAGCAGAGATCATTTTAAAAGAAAATGAAAGGCTGGGATCACCTTTGTAGGTGATGAGCATGCCGTGCTCCTCATTACTGACGAGCACGGAATGCGAATCGAGTACCCTACTGTTTCAAGGCACCCACCTCTTCAACTCCCTTCTTCTATAACTTTGCTTTAACCGTTTGTTTTACCTTAAAAATTTAGGCCTGCTTTGAATGAATGAAAAGTTAAAAAGAAATTGGAGGAGAGAAAATTATTAAAAAAAACAAATGTCACTCTTTAAATGTCAACATTGCCACCACTTTTTTCTCTATATCAAATAAATAGTGACTTCTTAATCTTGGGGGTGTTTTTAGCCTTCCCTAATTGGTGATACACGGATATTGTTGTTCTTAGGCCTATGTATGGGTAGAGTTGGGTAGGGCAGATTGCTAGTTCGTTGCCCTGCCCTAAATCTTTTCGAGCAAAAAAAATCTTGCCCGAAAACTGACCCTACTCGAAGGATGCCTGTCAATATACAAGCAAGGTTAGGCATGGATTGGGAAGGTCATGTTGAATGTCTAGTCTTGCTCATCTTTTTTTTTTTTGACATCTGAAAGCTTGTTTGTTGGACCTGAGTATAAATATTGGGCTTCTAAAAAAAATTTCAAGCAACAATATAGATGATCTAACGACTCCTAAAAATCAAGTTGAATTAAAAACATTTTGAGCTCAAATTAACCACAAAAAGAAGACATTTTGAATAGCAGATACCAGGTTCAATAATGTGAAAACAAATCTGAATAGAGGCAAATGAAACATCTTGAACAGCAAATTTCAAGTTCACGTTACATAAAGTCTAATTTAAAAAAAATCCTCTTAAACAATAAAAGAGATAATGACTATATTGCAAGTGTCCAATACCCTCCCTTCAAGGCTTCCATTCCACCATCAACAATCTAAAATATAACAATAAGAAGAAGAAAAATATCATTATATCCATTTCAACGGCAAGGCATGCATGAATTTGACAATCATAAAAATTTCTAAAAGAATATTGAGTTCATTTAAGGACAAACACTTTCTTTCATGGCCAACATTAGACACTTGTAGTTGAGAACGAATACTTCTTTTAGCATAGAGGTTACTAAAAATTAAGCACAAAAACTCAAACAACAGTAGACACTTGAAATCATAGAGCCATAAAAATAAAGATCAGAACTTACAATAGACTCATTGTGCCTACTTGTCATTCATTAATGTTGTTGAAGACCTAAGAGAGTGAAAGAGAAGAGGATAGGGTAAATCGGAGATATGAAGATTGCATACCTAGGGTTTGAAGAAACCAATCCAAGCTTTACTCAAGCGAACCCAAGCTCTAAAGTTCACTAAGAGTCTGAGACTGCAAGACAGAGTCGTTGGAATAAGCAAAGCTCTCACTCACAATGGATGAAGTCGTTAAAGGGAGGTGTTGAGATGGCAAGATGAAGGGAGGAACAACGTTATCAAGTCCTGCATGGTGGATGAGTAAGTAGTGTGGTGATTGGTGCGACTGGACTACAAGTGTGAGGTTGTGAGTTGTGATGCGATCAAAGGAGAAGAAATGAGAGGAGAGGGAGACGACTGGGAAGAATCGAAGAGAATGAGGAATGAGTAGAAAGATAAGGTTTCCATTTCATTTCAATATGCCACTTGTGTTGTTAGCTATTAGCTAACAAGATGATGTCATTTTATAATTTTTTTTAAATATATAGCTTGGGTCGGGCAGGGCTGATTGGTTGGACACCCTAACCCCAAACCTTGCCTAACCCGAAGTTTAGGCTTAGCTTGACCATGCCAATTTCTTTTTGGGCAGCTTTTTTTAGGCATGGGTGAGGCAAAAAACCATTAGGTTGGGTTGGGTATTTTGGGCTTTCGAGCTTCTTGCATAGCCCTCGTTGTTTTTTCCTAGAAGTTGATATTATTATAATGCATGCTTCACAATATTGCTAAACAAATTGTCATATATTAATTAATATTATTCAAAGCTCAAAAGCAAAAAAAATCATTGAACAGTTGTTTTTTTTTCCCCTTCGTGGGCCAAGCATTAAACAATTGATTGAAATTCTTCAATTCACATGCCACTCCAATTCCAAACAACAATGGAGGCGCTTCTTTTGAGGAACATTGCCTCCAATGATCTATTTATCTTTTTTGTCTCTACAAATATGCCCTGTCCATCATGTCCTTCTCTTCAAGTTGATACGATCTATATGAAGTTCAATCCTACATCACGTTACAAGGAAAAATACTAGAAACAATCGGAGACAAAAATTCCATCAGAAAGTTTCTTTCATTCAATCAGAGACAACCTCAACGCATCCAAATCAATTCATTTCAGTGGGAACATGACCAAAAGCTAGCATTATTCCAAACCTAACACTACACAACACAACTAGAAACATTCCAACTTTGTGGGGTGGCTTGGACACTCAACTGCTCTCACAATTGCCCTTTAGCAAGTAGACCATCTCAAAAACCACCCCTACATGGCAATTAACTTTGCGTGTGTGTTTGTGTGAGAATTAAAAGAGGCCTGCCTAGTGATTTTTTTAACAGATACATATACACTTAATTCTTCAATATAATCTTAGCTTACATCATTAAAACTTTTGGCTTCTGTCTTAACGGAAAAATTAACGAGTAAAGAGTCTTGAATCCAAAGCCTAACTCTCAGGAGTGAGGGCGTGGTCTCTCTTGGGGTCATGGCAGTAGTTATAAACCAAGTAGTTGTTATGGACCCATTGCATAGCCTTGAGCTGGCAAGGGCTAAGACTGGCATAGCCAGATGGCGAGCTGAAGGGTGGTTGGCACAAGGTTGGGGATTCAGTGGTACAACCCTCAAGTTTGAACATTTTGTACCTACCAATGAAGGGTTCGTACCTATAATCTGCTTTGTATCTTCATCCTCTGTCGCCCAGGATGACGCGTCCCATATGGATCCGTACACATACATTGGTCTTGTAGGATATGTTGCCTCGCTCTTCTTAGGATACCTCCTTATGGGCAAATCATCCACCAGGAATTTGCACATATTTTGGAGCAAACTCATAGTAAGCACCATCAGGAAGCTAGGAGAGTGGGTGGTAGTGCATGAGAATAATTATATTACATTATCTCATTGGGTTTCCACAGAACAGCATAGTTGTGAAAGTCCTGAGTCGGGTCGAACCAAAGGTGGAACTTTATCTCTCTGCCTGTAATATTTCTGTCTCCACTTCCTCTGATGTATACGTTTGTTTGCAAGACGTATGGCTTGTCTTGTGTAGTACCCAAGAACTCGATGTCAATTTCGTCATGGTTTCCTGGGTGGTCTTGGTTGTTTGAAAGCTAAAATTCCCAAATGAAGGACCATGAACAAAAGATGAAGAACTGCTTTTAAAAAAAACAAAAGAAAGAAGAAAACTCATTTCAAACGTATGTATAATCATAGTTCTCACATATAATGATATGATAATTCCCGCAATATAACCAGGTTGAAGCTTAATTGCAACACCAAAGTATCCCGATCGATATGAGTGCAACGACTTGAATCCACTCCCTGTGTTAAAACAAAAAACAAAAAACAAAAAATAAAAACAAAAGAAAAAGCCAGTACTGATGTGAAAATGTTTAAAAAAATTTTGAATTTGGGAGGTCATG